ATTAATGGAATTTTTTTTTTTTTTTTTTTACGGAGAGATTTTCACTGTAGGGCGCGTGCGCTCACCAGACAGACAGAGAGAGACACAGAGACAGAAAGCGAGAAAACACCCTCCAGGAGGGATGGTCACGCCGCAATCCCTTCTCCTCCATTCTCCTCTCAGGATCTTGGGCATGCACGCACACGCGCCCGGCGTGAGTTTTAAGCCACCGGGTCCGGGACACGAACGGCAGTCGACTACGTGGGAGTCCAGCGACATAGCCATTACGCTAACTGCTGGTTCCCCAATCAATGGAATTTTCACAAAATATTTGTTCATAACTCTGAGAGAGACAGTACTTAGAGGTAACAAAGGCCTTGAACTTTCAGCTCTTGATCAAATTTAAATAATGTATTTCTTGGATAATAAAATACCTGATTTATGGGATCATCAGCTGATTCAGTATTATTTTGTCTTTGTCATAGATATAAGTATACAGTTAAGCTCAGCCCAGTCTCGTTGTACTCTTCTGGAGAAGCAACTAGAATATACAAAGAGAATGGTTCTCAATGTAGAGCGAGAAAAGAATATGATCCTAGAACAACAGGTGAGCATGATTCTGTGAAGACTGATAATATAACTTAATCTATTTTGAGTAATATTTAATATCATGAGAAAACTGTCATATTGAAACCTTAGGTAGGACTAGCCCTGCAGCCTAGAGGTTAAGGGAGCAAGATCCCACTTGGCCAACCATGGTTCAAATCCTAGCCCTAGCAACTTGAGAAACATACTAGGTGCATGTAGGTGTTTACACAAAATCCCAACAGTGTGGACAGATAGAGAAGGGACTGTGGCTTGACCACACCCCCATTAGGGGGTGCATTCTCCCCGTCTTTATTTGCTGTATCTCTGTTTCTCCCTTGAAAATGTATGTGCCCTTTGGCAATAAAAAGAAAATTTTCTTTTCTTTTTTAAGAAAGAGATTTTTGCTGTAAGGCACATTTTACTCATCAGAAAGACAGACAAAAATTGAGAAATCCACCCTTTGGGTGGATGGCCATTCTGCAATCCCTTCTCCTTCATTCTCACTGGATTTTGTGCTCACATGCACACATGCCTGGCCTGAGTTTCAAGCTGCCAGGTCTGGAACTCGAACCATAGTCAGTCATGTGGGAGTCCAGCAGTGTACCACTATGCCATTTGCTGGTCCCAAAAAAGAAAATCTTAAGGTAGGATATAAAGCTGTATATAGTAGATTCTATACTTAGGGTAATGGCAGGCTGGGTCATCTGGACTGACTCTTCCTGCAGAAAAATAAGAAAAGCTAGAAAGAATATTTTAAAAAGAAAGAAAGAAAAACAAAGGGAAGAAAAATACACAAAAGCATTTGATAACTGACAAGGTAAGGAAGAATCACCATTCAAACTCTGTATACAGACTTCAATCCAGAGAATTTGGGTTCCTTCTGAGGGCATTTATGATTCCAGCAGAGAGAGTTGAGAAGCTAAAAATTGCATTCGACAGACATCCTTTTGGGGCTGGATGTTAAAGTCTAAAATCAACCAAGAGTAAAAACCTTACTCTTGTGCTCTGAGAGCTCTGTAAGTGTAAATAAAATGCTGGGCTGTTACTTGAACAGTAATTGGCCATGTCAGATGCAGCTTCCAACTCACAGCGCTTAACCACTGTGCTACAGGGCCTGTCTACTTTGTAGTTTTTAAAGAGAGATTTAGTACATCTTTTCCTAAATTTAAACATATATATATATATGTTTTATGCTAGTGTGAATAGTCTAGGATATTTTAAAATTTCATTTTAGGTTTATCTATTACTGGTATATAAAAATATAATTGATTTTTGTTTGACCATGTATATCATAGACTTGCCAAATTTATTAGTTTTAGTAGTTTTCATATTTTTAAGGAGTTTCTATATGTAAAATCATGTAATCTATGAATAAAGACAGTTTTCATTTTCAGTCTTAGAATATTAACTAGAGTGGCAAGGACTAATATCCTTTAAAAGTAATGGGGACTAACATCTTTACTTTGTTCCTTATCTTTGGGGTAAGCTACCAGTCTTTCACTATTAAGTATAATATTTACTGCAGGTATTTCATACCAGCCCTTTATCAAATTTTGGTAATTATTTTCTATTCTTAGTTTGTTGAAAGATTTTATCATTAATGGATGTCAAATGTTTTTTCTGCATCTGTTAAGAGGGTCATATGACTTTATTTCTTTTATTCTGTTAACATGGCAACTTATGTTGATTACTTTTCAAATATTAATAAACCTTGCCTCCTGGTATTTACCTCAGTTGATCCTGCTGTATCATTCTTTTCCTGCATGGCTTGGTTGATTTTGTTGATATTTAAGTATTTTTACAACTATTTCCATGAGGGATTTTGGTACATAATTTTCTTATAATGCCTAATTTTGGTACCATGGTTTTACTGGCCTCATAAAATTAGTTGGGAAGATTCCTTCTTGTATTTTTTGAAAGACCTTGTGATTGATTAGTATGATTTCTTTTTTAATTTAAATTTTTTCATAGAATTCAACACTTGATAGAAACTATCTGGGGGAAGAGTTTTCTTTGTAGGATTCAATTTATGTAACAGATATCTGACTACTCAGATTTTCTATTTCTTTTTATATTTTTTATGGTGTTCCCTCTTTCATTTCAGTTATTACTCATTTATGGTTTTGTTTTAAAAAGAAAAAAATTGTTAGGGGTCAGATAGTAGCACAGGGGTAAAGTGCGATGCTCTGCAAGATAGTCCTACACAGGAAAGTTACCTGTTCAAGTCTAGAACCTTCCTGAGTATGACCATGTGCTTGTCCATGATCCAGGACTGGCTGAAGGCTGAGGATGGTTCATGATTTCAAGAACTTGTTGGGGGTGCCATCTCTCTCTTTCTCTTTCTGTATTTCTCTCACTCAGGGAAAACTTAAATAAAATTTTTAAGAAGATTATCAGTTCACCTATCACTCTATAATTTTATTGATTTTTTGTAAAGAGAAACATTTGTTTTTTTTTTAATTCATATTCTGCTTCATTGAATCCAGCTTTATTATTCCCTTATAACTCACATAGGATTTTTTCTTTTTATTACCAGAGGGCTCATGTGCTCACCAGAAAGAGATGAGAGACAGATACTTTATTTTAAAATACATATTTTTATAAGATTTTTGTTAGAGGGCATGTGTACCTGCCAGAGAGAGATAGAGATGGAAAGTGAGAAAGCATCCACCATGGGGAATGGTCATGTCTCAATCCTTTCTGTTCTGTTTTCTTCCGCTTTGTGAGATTCTTGCACAGGCATGCACATGTGCCTGTGTTTTTCAAGCTACAGGAACCAAGACTCAAACTGCACAGTCAGCCACACGGGATCCAACCAATTTATCACCATGCTATGTGCTTGCGCCATACTTTTAAATCAGAGCTATAAATATTCCTCTAAACACTGCTTTACCTGCATGCTATACATTTTGGTAGTTTGTATTTTCATTATCATTCAGTTCAAGATATTTTCTGACTTCTCTGATGAATTCTTTTTAGATTTTGTTTGCTGGTCCTCTGCTTTTTAAATTGTTGCTCTAGGGGCAAGAGTATGTGTTTTGTTTTTGAGGTTTTTTTGCACTTTTAACTTTATTAAAATTAATAAAATGATAAACACAGTAACAGGTAAGCGAGAATTCAGTACATTTAGTTGGATAATATTTTAAAATGTACATATTCACAAGCTCATAGATTCTTTGCTACCATAGAACTTTTAGTCTGTGTAGTTGAAATCTTCTGGAATGCCAATTTTTTTTTCATTTATTTATTTTTACATTTTTCCACAAACATTTACTTTATGTATCAAAAAATTTTTGCTCATACTCCATAGTTCATGACAGTTAATAAACAACTTTCAAAATTTCAAACTACTGAATTTTAAAGATAATGTTCAAAATATTTCTTATAATTTTGTTTGTGACTCTTTAACAATGGAGACAATATAGTTTTAAATATTTTGAGAAAATATTTACATGTCAACTACTCAAATTGTTGAAAAGCAAATGCCCAGCACACAAGGTATAACGTTTCAATCAAAGCCCTGTCCAATAGTATTTCCAATTTCTGATTCAATGCAACAAGCATTATTGAACTCATGCAAATAACCCTACTGCCAAAAAATAAGAATATTCCCAAATATTTCCAATTCAAGAGGAGTCAGGAAGGAAGAAAAATGTATGTTTCCATTTAAAGAAACATACAAGAAAAATATTTTAACATGAACCTATCAACAACTCGAATGTAAAATGTTTAAATTGGGCAAACAAAGTATAATTAAAAAAAAATCAGTAATGTTTTACTCAAAAATCATAAAATTCTATTTCGTCATTTCAGTTTTATGTTCAAACACTCTTCTGTTGAATATGCAGTGTTACTGTGGTCCAGTTTTTCCATTTAAATCCTGGAAGTTAACATTCATCGCTATTATTGATGTTTCTTGTCCCTAGTAATTAAATTGGTCATTTTCGTGGTTGCCTTTTGTTCTCTTATTTCTGTATGTGTCTTTAGTTTTCCTGGTAGAGAACTCCTTTCAGAACTTCGTGAAGAGTGGGTGTGCTACTCGCAAATTCTTTCAGGTCCTGTTTATCTGAGAATGTTTTTAATCCTTTCTTTCCATATGAAAGATAATCTTGCCAGGTATAGTATTCTTGGTTGAAACTGTTTTTCACTTAACACTTTGATTTATGTTCCGATTCTTTCCTTGCTCACATTGTTTCTGATGAGAAGTCTGAGGTTAGCCTGATGGGATAACCTTTATAAGTAACCTGACGTTTCTATCTTGCCAATTTTAGTATCTCATCTTTGTCTGTAGATTTGACCAGTCTGGCTATGATGTGCCCTGGAGAAGATCTTCTTGGGTTGATTTTATTAGGGATCCTTTGTATTTCTTGGGTCTGGATATTTGAATGCCTTTCTAGATTTGGAAAGTTTTCTTACAAGATTTCATAGAATAGATTATCAATGCCCTTATTAGTTTCCTCACCTTCTGGGATACCAAGTATCCAGATGTTTGGGTGCTTAATACTGTCTAATAGTTCTCATATAGTATTCTCATTTTTTTTTGTTGTTATTTTCTCCATTTTTTGTTTTTGTTTTTGTTTTTGTTTTTGCTTGTTTTTTCCCAGATCAGAGGTTTTCCCTTCAATATACGAGATTCGATTTTCTGCATGGACAATCTGCTTTTAATACTTTCAAGGGAGCTTTTGATTTCCTGAATGGCATCCTTCATCTCCAATAGCTCAATTTGATTCTTTTTTATGGTGTGTATTTCCTCTTTCAGGTCATGGAAGAACTTCAACACCTCCTGGAACTCAGTGTCTCTTTTCTCCTGTATCTTCTGAAGTTCATTATCTCTCAGCTTTTGCATCTTGTTTAGTTTTGTCACAATGAATATTCTGAATTCTTTTTCAGACATTTCCATGAGATCTACTATATTGTCTGAGGATGGGATGAGGGATTGTTCTTTTTTCCTTAGGGGAGAGATATTTTCTTGATTTCTCATGTTTCTTGTGCCTCTGCAGTGGTTTCTGGTCATTCTGTGACAAAATCTATTTTCCACTGTGTTTCACAATGTGATATCCACAGAAAGATTAGGAGTTCAGATTTATAAAAAGAAATTTCTTCATTAAAGCAGGAGGTTCAATAAGTGGTGAGGATTTCAATGATTCTAAAAGTATTCAGATGCTTGGCTACTATGCACCAAGGCCTATCTAGACATTCAGTGTGTGGAGAGTGAAGCTTAGAGTGGGAAAGTAAGGATAAAAAGAAATAAGCAAAAAGCAAAAAAAAAAAAAAAAAAAAAAACAAAAAAAAAAGAAAAATAGTACCAAAAAAGAGAAAAAAAAATTTTTTACACATCAAAAAACAAAAAATTAACATGCCAGGACACACTTCAGCTTTAAAATGGCTTCTGGAATTAGCAAGTGAAAGAAAAGGTCCAAGGTGAGGAGAAGTGGTTGAAAAGATTTTTTTTTTAATTTAAAATTTAAAGAGAGAGTGTGAGACAGAGAGGTAGATATCCAAAGACAGAGAAAAGACGGAGGTCGCCCTAACCTTGTGAATATTTCAGGTGTCTAGGAGATGGAGCCTAGAGCATATCTTCCCTGAACATGCCAGAACACACCTCAGCTTTAAAATGGCTTCTTGTCTGAATATTTCAGGACTAGGAGATAGAGCCTAGAGCATAGCTTCCCTGAACACGCCAGGACACACCTCAGCTTTAAAATGGCTTCTGGAATTAGCAAGTGAAAAAAAGGCCTAAGGTGAGGAGAAGTGGTTGAAAAGTTTAAAAACAAAAATTTAAAATTTAAAGAGAGGGTGTGAGACAGACAGACAGACAGCCAGAAACAGAGAAAAGACAGAGGTTGCCCTACCTTGTCTGAATATTTCAGGAGTCTAGGAGATGGAGCCTAGAGCATAGCTTCCCTGAACATGCCAGGACACACCTCAGTTTTAAAATGGCGTCTTGTCTGAATATTTCAGGAGTCTAGGACATGGAGCCTAGAGCACAGCTTCCCTGAACACGCCAGAACAAACCTCAGCTTTAAAATGGCATCTTCCCTGAATATTTCAGGAGTCTAGGAGATGGAGCCTAGAGCATAGCTTCCCTGAACATGCCAGGACACACCTCAGTTTTAAAATGGCGTCTTGTCTGAATATTTCAGGAGTTTAGGAGATAGAGCCTAGAACATAGCTTCCTTGAACACGCCAGGACACATCTCAGCTTTAAAATGGCTTCTTGTCGGAATGTTTCAGGAGTCTCAGAATGCCATGATTTTTATCAATTTTATTTTCTTCAAGCCCAAATTTTCTTTTGGCCCAAGATTTTATGGCAAATATGTTATCAGTTAATTTGTTAGGAGCTTCTTTAGCTACTTTATTTGCTTGTTGCATTTCTTCCACAACTTGTGGATCACATTCTTTGTCTTTTTCCACTTCCACCTTTAGTTGTTCCCTCTGGTTCCGAAGTGAGGAAAGCTCTTTTGCTAGCATTAT